GCCGGTGGGGACGACACAGCCCTGCCACCAGGCTGCGTGCTCACTGTGCGTGCGGCACTTCCTAACGGCACCAAGGCAGGGTCCCGCCCCATCAAGGAGATTTGGAAACTGAGTTTCTAATGACCCCCAGAGGGGACGTGGAGGAGCGTGGATTCAGAGAGCCCACTCACCTGCCACTCCAAGTGGCAGAAGGGAGGTGGGCCACCCTGCCCGGAGCCTACCTGTAAATGGACACGTTCTCGATGAGCTGGTTGGTGAGGCTGTCCGTCAGGATAATTCCTCGTGGCGAAACCTTGAGAGTCACCTTCTGCAGCTTCTTCCCGCTGGCCTTAGCCTTAGGACAGAGGTGAGTCAGAGCAGCCTGCCTGCCTTCTGTGGGACCCACCTCTCCTGGGCCACTCCACCCCACAGGGCCCACGTGAGGCCACTACTCAGGTGACTGGCAGGGCCACAGGGCCATGGGGAGACAACTTGACCATCCCTGTCTTGTAATCTAACAGGGATGATGACCCCTTCTCACTGCACTCGCTGCTGGCCACCACTGGAGTCATCCTCGCATGTAGGATGGTGGCCTCGGCCTCCTCTTCCCCAGGAGAAAATGAGTCAGAGGGGTCAAAGGCCTGCCCAAAGACACAGCTAAGTGGGACATCACAGCCCTGCAGCAGGGGGACTCCAGGGGCTCTGCAGGGCCTGAGCTGAGGTCTCGGGCTACCAAGGGAGGTAGGTTTAAGGGCCTACACTCACTGGAGCTGGGGAGGGGACAATCTTGTCACCAAGGGCAGGCTAGCCTGCCTCTCAAGCCACTAGGCAGGGGGGCCAGTGACAGCGACATCCCCAACGCACAGAGAGCCTGAGCTGGGGGGAGGGGGAGGCCAGAGGCTGCAGCAGACACTGACCCCAAGCCTGCAAGCCCAGTGGCTCCTCTGTGTGGAGTCTGAGCTGGAGGGTGAACACTCGGGCAGGACGGGCTCAGCCCCAGCCCCAGCCCCTGTCCCTGGGGCCATGAGTGAGAGACAAGGGCACCCCGGAGAAGCCAGCCCCAGCCCCCGGTGCGCACCGTGGCGACGATCCTCTTGACAGCGGCGGCCGACAGCTCCTCGCCCTTGGGCTGCTCCACCAGCGTCATGCCCAGGTACTTGAGGCTGAACTGCATGCCTTCCAGCAGCGTCTCCCGCGTGTCCGTCCAGTTCTCCGGCAGCTCTGGGCAGGGCAGACAGGTCCTCAGACCCTGCTGGGTGCCGCCAGCCCTGTCCCAGGAAAGCCCAGCAAGGGGCTCTGGGACACCCCCCGGTTACTCTTTAACAAAGCACTAACAAGCCTGGAATGTACCGAGTGCCGCGGTGAGCGAGGTGGGAGTCCTATCGCCCCACAGGTGATGATCCGCGGCCTGGGGAGGCTCGGCGCGTGAGCACGTCCAAGGGCCTTATGTTCAATTCAGAGCCAGCCTCCTGCCTCCTACACCACTGTGGGCTGGGGCAGGCCCTGCCGTTCCCGTGCCTGCCCGGTGCAATACCGTGAGGTGGGTGGGTTCCCTGTTACCCTCAGGAAACTGAGGCAGAGCCCCAAGATGCCAGTCGCACTCAGACCGCTGGCCCCACAGCCGGCCTGCACCATGCTGCCCTGTCTGCAGGCGCACGGTGGCCCAGAGGCTAGGGCAGGGGACCAGGGCCGAGGCACAGTCCAAGGACTGCGGTGGGGTCGGTAGGAGTCTGTAGGCAGGATGAAGGTGCTTTCTCAAATGACACCATAGTGATCTGGCAGATCTGGGATCGAATCCCAGCACTGCTTCCTACTGCCTGTGAGGTCTCTGGGCTGTCACCTCTCTCTGCGAGATGAGCAGCCATGGCTCCAAGCAGGAAGTGCGGGAAGAGACCTCTGGAAACTGGGCATGGCTGATGGCAGAAGAGAGGAGCGCAGTGCTCGAGGCAGGAGAACAGACCAGGAGCGGGAGCCTACCCAGGAGTCAGCCCTGAGGCCTCGTCAGGGCTCTGACCAACCCAGGCCTCCTCACAGGCTCAGGCTCCAGGCACCTTACCAAGGCAGGAAAGAGCGCCAGGTCCCCACCATCAGGATGAAGGAACGCCACACGACCCGGCTTAGGGGTCCTGGGCCTGTCCCGGATCATCCCCCCGGAGGTCATTATGACTGCCCCCACTTTACAGATGAAAAGCTGCTCTGCCCTCACAGAGGCACAGGACAATCCAAGGAACCAGCTTGCAGAGAGTCACAGAGAGGGGCCGGTGCCGGCCTCCCAGACTGCCCCCAGCCCTGAGCCCTCCCGGCCTCCGCCTGGGGCCTTCCTCACTGGCTCTAGAGGAAGGAACTGGCATCGCTGGCTCCAGGACAGCTGAGGCCCCGCAGGGCCGTGGCTCTGTGCTCTGGGGTTCCTGCACTGTGAGGAGCAGAAACCTATGGCAGCACCAGGTCCCGCACCCCATCTGGGCCCTTGCGGGCCCTCCTAGCCCTGTCTAGAGCCCCGGGCTCCGCCCTCCCACGGACAGAAGGCCTGAGCAACCACACTGCTCTGGACAGCCACTCTGCGGGACTGCTTCCTCATCACAGGATGCCCACACAGGATTGGGGGTCACACGGGAACAGGTGTGCCCGTTCTGCCACCCCTCACCCCGAGACCCAGGTGAACAGGTCTTTCAGGAACTGGCTGCAGCTGGTGCTGAGGGTTTGCAGAGTGGAGAATGACCCGGATGACCTCACGCCCAGATCTGGCCCCTGGCTTGCTCCCTTCCAGCCCTCATCCCTGAGCCTCCACCCCAACCTGGGGTCGGGCCTCGCTGAGGTGACCCCAAAGCCCACAGTGACTCCAGCAATCATAAGCCTATCCCATTTGGTCCTCCAGTAAAAGTCAGCACGGCCCCGAGGAGTCCCCAGTGCTGGTCTGGGTGATGGGGGCTCTGGGCAACTCAGCCTAGGACTTGCTGTCAGAGAGACTGGGAGCCAGCCCCTGGCCGGGGAGAAAGGCCAAACGGCAACGACGAGTCTTCAGTTCTGTTTCTGTCTGCTTGTTGTTTGCATATAGAAATGCTATAGATTTTTTTAGAGGTTTTTACTATAAGGCATGTGTGCTTGCCAGAAAGACAAAGAGAGATAGAGATAGGAACCGAGAAATCACGCCCCAGGGGGGATGGTCACGCCGCAAGCCCTTCTCCTCCATTCTCCTCTCGGGATCTTGGGCACGCACGCACACGCGCCCGGCGTCAGTTTCAAGCCACCTGGTCCAGGACGTGAACCACGGTCGACTACGTGGGAGTCCAGTGACATAGCCATTACGCTAACTGCTGGTTCCCTCTCGGCTTTGGTTTTAGCCATCGGCACGTGTGCTCACCAGAGAGAGGGCAAGTGAGAGATCACCCCCGGGGGATGGCCGCGCCGCAGTCCCTTCCCCATTCCGCTCTCGGGATCTTGGGCACGCACGCGTGAGCCCAGAGTGGTGTTTAAGCCACCGGGTCTCGGACTCGAACCGCAGTTGACAGCGTGGGAGTCCACCAAGCCACCTGCCGGCCCCTCACTACTGTTTGATGATGAAGAAGCTGAGCTTGAGGACTGACCGAAGCCCAGGCCCCCGACACGATCTTACCATGAAGCACATGGCCTGACTTCTAGTCAAGGATCAGGGAGAGGTTCTGGGAGCAGGAGGTACTTCCGCCCGCCCGGAACCAGGTACTCCTAATACCCGAGGCTTGCCCTCTGCAGGCCGAGACCCCCAGGCCACCAACCTGAGACCCATCTAAGCAAAGATGGGCAGCGAGCCTGCCACGCCCATAGCCCGGGTGGCCGGCAGACATGGCTAATCACACACCAACCGCAGCTCTGCTTCCCTCGGCCTGTTTCTCCACCAGGCTCCAGGCAGGCAGTGCCAATCGACCAGGGCGGCCCTGCCCACCTCATCACCCATTCCTGCCCTAGGCAAACATCCTTCCCCTTTTTCATGTTCCTACTCTATTTCCTCCAGCTCGGCCCTGCCTGGCTCCCTTCCAAAGCCACTTCCGCTCCCTCCATTCCAAAGGGCCACAGCTTGCCAAGGCCGCTGGTGATCTCTGCTGTCCAAACAGTCCCCATCCTCCATGACCTCTGAAAGCTCTGGCATTTCTCGGCATCCCTCCTGGCCTGGCCCTCTCCCTGTGCTGCCACCTCCCTGGGGACGGGATGGCACTCATCACTCAGCCTGAGACACCCTCTGCCTAACCCTCACTCGACACAGGAGGCACCTGAAGCCCAGAGAGGGGAAGACCTGTGCAAGGTCACACAGCAAGTCCGAGACCCCCAGCTCTAAGTCCGTTAGGGCAATGCCCCCAAGTTCCAGCTCCTCGCCCCCACGATGGCCTCACACAGGTTCCAGCCAGACAGCCCTCACGGCGTAATGCGGCCTCTCCATCTGCGAGCCTCTGCTCCAGCAGCTCCCTCTGCAATGTGGTTCCCTTCAGCTGACCGAACCCCCACCTCCAGCCTAGTCAGGGGGACCCGAAGGCAGCATGGCCCAGCGGCTGGAGCAAGGGCCTAACTCCTAGAACCTGGGCTCTGCTGTCCACGCCTGCCTGACGTCGAATCGATGCCCTCCCCTGAGCCTCGGTGTCCCCATCTACACGGTGGGGAAATGGCAGCCCTGGCTCACAGGCTGCTGTGGCCCCCGGTGGGCCTCATGCCCCCGCCCCTCAGTCACAGCACCTGGCCCAGCGGCCTCCTGTGTGGTGTCCTCCATGGCACCATGGCCGGTCCCGATGCCTCCGCAGGCCCTGGCACAGAGAGCCACACTCCTGCCCATGCCCCATCCCTGTCGCTCCGCCGCGGGGCCCTGTGGAGCTGCGCCCTTTCCTTGGGGAACCCCGCCTCTGCCCCGCTGACTCACCTCTGAGGTGCAAGGGCTCCCGTGCCACACCCGCCCGCAGAAACCAGCCCCCGAGCGCTCAGTAAAGACAGGGCGCTCTGCCCGGTCCTGCTTACAGGCAGCAGCCAGGGCACTGTGGCAGGACGGCTGGAGCCCCCAGAGACCTTGGGCAAGCACAGGCCCGAGTCCACAGCCCTGTTCCAGTCCTGGTTATTTCTGGCCCCGCGCTGGGTAATGACTGGGCTATTTTAACTGCAGTTTTACAGATGGCCTGCTGCCGGAGTTAGCTGGGGACAGATCACAGGCCTGGCTAATCTACAGCAGCGAGCACGCACCCCTCCTCGGTAAGGTGCCTGACCTGGGCGTCAGCTGGGTGGGGTGCCCGTGCCCCCTCTGTAAGCCCCGGAGGCCAGCCAGGCTAGTGCCTAGAACACTGGGGCTGCAGACAAAGCAGCGGGCCTGGGGGACCTCTGACCAGGACCCTGGCCGCGGGCTCCTCCTGCCCACGGGGCGACGGCTCAGAAGCCGGAGTGACAGTATCTGTCTCAGGCACCCGAGCCCTGCCCTGACCTGGGGCTGGTGCTGGGACTTCTCCGGTTCTGTCTCCCGATCTGGCAAAGGGCTCAGTCCCTCAGGAGCACCATCAGCACTTCCCGACGTGGGCGAGTTTCAGAGGCGAGGGCCATGAAGACTGTTGTCCGGTGAGATGATTTAGGGAATGGTAACTGCTTACAGGACAGAGCACGCCGTGCGCTCTGGGCCGGGCTGTGGGCTGCCGGGTCTCGGCTTCCCCATTGTTAAGCAGGGATGAGAGCCCCAGTGGGGCTGCGATGGGCGCACACACGCACGGCTCAGTGTGCCTGGGCACAATGTACGCACTGCGGTGTGCGCTGTCGCCGTCACCAACAGCCGCACGCAAGGAGCTTTAATGAGCACGTGGCCACTGTGGAGGTTTACGGGGCGAGTCGAGAGCAGTCCTGGTCCCATTTCACAGTAAAGGAGCTCAGGAGTCTGACCATGGCTTCTAATCCACAGCGCTGGGTCTCAGACCCCGTGCTCCTCCTGTAGCCCACCAAGCCCCTTCTACGAAAGGAGGGGTCAGGAAGGCCCAGCTTGAGCTCAGTCCAGGAGCGGGACCTGCCGAAAGGAATGCCCTCCCTCAGCTCTGGTTAAAAGCCTCCTTCACTGCTGCTCCCTCTGGCCAGAATGCACTCTCTTACTCCTCAGATTCGGATTCGCTGCTGCTCCATGCACCTGCTCAGGGAGGCCCTCCCTCTAGGGGACACTGCAGGCACCACCCTCCTCCCCTCGGTGGGCCCCATCTCCACGCAGCCCCCGGCCTGCCAGCCAGCTCCTGCCA